GTATATTTCTGTATCCTTTTTTTCTGATGAATCCAGTGGCTTGGTTGGTTATATGCTTCTTTACACATATTTGACATCTGATTTTAACCTTTGGTTTTTATAAAAGTGTTTTATGAGCTTCAACCAGTCTGATGGTATCATTGAAAGTTTATGCTACCTCTTTACTCAGGAATTTCCAAATGGGTTTTTATCACCTTGGTTCTTTAGTTTTCTATACTCAATGGTCTTATAGTGAGTTTGCACTAATGTCTTATGCAACACCAGTTATATATTTCTTTATGTACATGTAATATTACACTTTGTATAGATGCCCAAACTCTTAATATCAGTAGGACCTGACTTGGTATACCTGGGTTATAGCCACATGAGGCCAACTGATCGACAAGAGACAGTTATCATTACACAAATATAATTTTTAAATTTCATCATAAGTGAGATTTGAACCTTAGACCTGCCACTTGAAGGATGACAATCCAACCACTACACTAGGATCATCATTCTCTGCTTGTTGAATTTGTTAATAAAGTAGTAATGAGTTTTCTGTATAATGAGTATAATAAAGTTGTTTTCAGATATCTTGTGCATGTTGGATCCATGTATAAATTTGAGAATGATTATCTGGATCAAGAGTTTGAAGGTCACAGTAGAATCTGTTATTAATAGTCTTAATTTTAGAGTTTATCATATTTATGTTAAGCTTGTTATAAGTGTTTTTAATAATTTTTATTAGATGTCTAAGCTCTTTAAGTAATGTGTAGATTAAGGTAAAGTTAGAGGAATATTGATGATTGTAGCTATATTTACAAGTTTTTTTGTTAGAAATAAAATGTATTGCAGTGTTAATTATTGAATACTCAATCTTGTGCCAAGTAGTTTCAATGCTTTTATTAGTATTACTATTAAGTGGTGTGTTATGAAGGCTAAGATTGAGAAAAAGAAGATTAAAGAATTCTGTTCATTTGTCAGTTAACATAGCTTTGTAATTAAGATTCTGCAACTGATGTCAGTATAATGACATAAGAGTTTTCTATATGCATTAGTAAAAGTCCAGATAGATATAAGAATAAAGTGGTTACTAAGTATTAAGATATTGCTATTATCAAGATTGTATGAAAGAAAGAATTGAATATTGAATAAATTAATCCAGATGTAATCAATGCAGCTATAGTTAGTATTATTTAATTATATAAAGTGCTTGTTATCGATATGTGTACCAAGATCAAACATATTAGAGTGGTGTAAATAATTAATAAGTTTAAATTTAGATGAAGAGCTACAGATATCATCATGTATATTAAAGTTTTCAAGTATTATTGAATGAAAGTTGTGTTGAAGAGCTTGTTGGATCTATATAATAACAGTATTTTGTATATTGTTACATTTTTGCATATTGGTAAAAGAAAGATAAACAGCTATAATTCAAAGTTTAATTTCACTTTTAAAAAATAGATCTAAAGTAATTGCTCTACTGAAGTGTGTTTGGCAGTTGTATACTGTAGTTGTAAGTGTTTTTAAATCATAATAGCAGCACCTTCTGCTGAATTTTCTAAATTGGCCTAGAAGTAGGTAAATAAGTTGTTATTGTAAAATTAAAGATTTAGTACTGTTAGTAATTTTGGTTTCAATAATACAAGAAATATGAATATTATTGTAAAGACAATAATTTTGCCAAGCTTCTTTTTTAGTTACTGTATTATAATTTTTAACATTGTGTATACAAATGTTTAAATAAAGGTTATATAAAGTTTGTGTAAAAATAGATACTTGTAATGTAGCATGATTATTAAAAAATAAATCAGGTAAAATAAAAGTAGAATTAGGTAAATTTAATTTAAAAGGAAGGTTGTAAAAAATAAAAAAAGATAAAGATGAATAACAGTATGATTAGATAAGAGAAAGTCATTTGAAAGATATATATGAGTTTCATTATAGGTATTGCTAACAGAAAAAGTAATACTAAAGACAGTATTATTATAGTTATATTTGTCAATATGTTGTATAAGAGATTGAATAGTTTAATTATAAGAAAGAAGTGATAAGTTGTAATAAAAAAGAAATTTGTTAAAACATATATAAAGATCATAGAAGCTTAAAGATGTTAAAAATAATCTTTTAAAATTGTCTTTTACAAAGTCAATTACTATATGTTCAGCTTTTATTGCTGTGCAAGGTACTAAAGTTTGCCCTATACATTTGGTCTGATCATTATTATCTTGGCCTTCTATATATAGAGGCTTAACCATCTGCCTTCATATATTATTCTTCTTACTAATTACAATTGATTGTATCTTTTAGTAAAACAGCTGCATTTACAGTATGTGTCTGTAGAAGATAACTGGTTTGTGTGTGTTTTTGTTTATTATTAGTGTAATAATAACACTAAGTAAACTATGCAGTTCCCATTCTGCATGTTTATACTAACTCTTAAATGAATTTATTTTGTGTTTATACTGACTATTTTACAATGTTCAGAAGATATTTATGTATATTAGCTTGTATTTCTCTATATTTCTAATCAGAAACTTCCTGCAGTTATGAGCTTTTGGGTATGAATACCATATTTGAAACTTTTTAAGTGGTCTTCCTAATTAGTATTTTTGCAGATTTCTCAACACAGATCTACTGTAATCTAATATGGATTTATCTTGTGTTTATATTGACTATTTTACAATATTTAGAGATATATCTATATATTAGCTTGTATTCTTTTATATTCCTAATTGAAACAAACTCCCTGCAGTTATTTGCTTTTAGATATAAACATTATAACATGAATTACTACAGATCTGTTACCAACTTTACTTGGTTTCATATCACAAATTATAGTTAATAAGCCAATATTTCTAACTAAGTTGATATACCAATTAAGGTATATAAGATTTTTAGTTTTTTAATATTCATTGCCAGTAGAAATTGATCCTTAGACCTTGTCACTTAGGATGCAACAACTTAATTACTTTACTAAGTTACTACATCTTTTTAGAAATTATATTGTATAAAAAAGAGTTATAAATTTTATATAAAAATAAGTTGTAATTATTGTAAAAATATCAATTTGTCAAATTTGCAATACCTTTAAATAAATTTTTTTTTTATAAATATAATATATTAAGTTATTTAGTTAAATTCAGATTTAACTATTAAATTTTTAATTGTTTATTTAAACAATAAAAAAAATATATTAATTTTTTTATTTATAAAAAAACAACTATAAAGATTAAAACTTACTAAAAAATTGTTAAATAACTTTATTTCTAATAATTTAATAGACTTAGATTAGATCTTTTATTTTGAATATTATTTAATAAAATTATTTTAGAGGATGTGGCGACCTAGTAAAGTGGTCAGGTTGTCAACTCTCCAAGTAGTAGGTTGAGTATTAAATTCCATTAACAGTGAAAATTTGAATAATCATCTATGTAATATTCGTATTATAGCAATTGTTACTAACGATTGGGTTAGGATACCTGTAATGGCAGTCGCACTAGCATAACTGGCAGGTTATGGGGCATCTGTGCAATGTTGGAGTTACACAGAGGAATGCAAACCAACATATCAGGTGGTGCAAACACTAGATAAGTCCTCATGGCTGTGTAAATCTGTTGAAATTGGGTAACAAGAAGTCTATTTGGAAAGACCCAAGTAGAAGGTAGCTGGATCTTTGACGGCCCTACTGTAAAGGCTAGCTTGGCGAAACGGATATCTAGGTCTAGTATCCAGTCCTAGTAGCCGGATGGGCAAAAACCTTCAAGTTGGGAGTCTCAGAGGTACTACCAACCAGGCCACCAGAATGAACTAGAGGAAAAGGATATTGGCCCAACCCGATATATTGATGGACTGGTCATAGTTCTACATAAGCTATCTGGATTGGGAGTCTGATAAAAGGGTAGGGGAAAAGGCAGAAGTATACTAAAGTACTAGGGTTATGCTATGAAGTAGATGCTAGGGTCTAAGTGAACTCTACAAGGGCATAGCAGTTTAATGGTTAGCCCTAACTGCAAGTGTTGATTCTGCCATAGCAATACCTAGATCGGCTGTAAAAATAGATACAGAAGGCTCTGGAAGGTTTACCTTGAGAATAAATTAGTCCTAAGGTTAAGGACAATGATCTGGTACATCTGAGATAACTAGTGATGTTAACACAGGTTACAGGTTCAGAGGGTTTAAAGTGTAACACCCAAGCAGGAGTGTTAGGTATGGCAATTGATAGGGAACCTTCGGGCGGACTCCTTAAATAGGTAATATAGAAAAGTTACACATGTAGCCAATTGTATGCTCTCCTGTAGTGGTTCATTAAACCACAATACTGATAAGTGATTAATAAAAGTCAAAAGACCAAAGAGGTCACCTAAAAAAAAAAATTAAAATAAAAAAAAAATAAAAAATATGATTAGAAAAATTTGACTCTACAGAAACCTCAGAGCTATATTATACTGCAGAAGAGATTTTTGTGATGTCTAAAAATAACTTTTAATAAAATTCTATCTATTGTAAAACAAGCTATAGGTGATTCTTTGAATCATGGCTTTTTGAACCTACTTACAATTTTGGATAATAAACTCTTTTTGTCTTATTCGATAATTTAATGAATAAAATCGACCAGAATGTTTTAGACAATATTCTGTAATAGATATAGTAGGCTTTTTACAGATATTGCAGAGAATTTTCTCTATATTTTTCTTATGTAAACTCCAATGTCTATAACAACCTGTAGAATGCCAGCATTTGTTTCCACAAACAGATCAATCTCTTTTAATATAAGGACAAATAGCATGATCTATGAAAGTATTTTAGGATATAATATATAATATGTATAAGATTCAATTATAAAAAACTATTTAAATATTCTGAATAAATAATGAGATAAATTATCTTTACTTACATATACCACATATATATACTACATATATACCACATATATAATGAAAACACTACAGAAAGTAGTCAACTTATTAACCAATAGAAAGATCTATTACAATAGACCAACATTCTGCAAACTAATGTGTAATAGTTTTAGGTATGTAAAAGATTTAGCCAAATTTCTACAATTACCAGATATTATAGATTATTATTATCCTGAGCAAATTAGATTCATAAATATTCTGTTCTATCCAGTTATGATACTACTGATTTATATAATGAAAAATAGACCTGATATTTACAAAAAATGGTTCATAAGTATAGAAAAATACTGAAATCTATTCCAAGCATTATAAAAAATTAAAATAAATTGTAAATCTTAATTTAGCCTGAATTACAACTCCAAGGCTATAAATTTTTTCATTATATCATATGTATTGGTAAATTTTAAATTAACATTCTGGTTATCCTATAAGATACATAACCTCTTTTTTCTGGTTATAAGAGGAAAAAGCCTAATTAATTTCGATTTAAAAAATATTTTTATAGTGTATATAATCTAAAGAATTGTTCATAAACTACTTGACCTACTATAAAATCTAACAATATCAGCTATTGCAACAAAAATCATTGAGAAATATAAACTTACCTCAAAGATGGATATATCAAAACTTGGTCAATATACCTTAGAGTTTTTTGAAAATCTTACTAATGATAGAAAATAGAATCATGCATGCAGACATCATCAGAATGGCTTTAAATTTAGCAATGAACAGGTGAGTATATTGATACTCAACCAGAGAAGTAGTAAAACTAAAACTATAAATCTTGCAACTTCCAATAAATATCAAAATCCTATTTCAATCTCATAAGAATTAAAGGAAGAAACTATTGAAGAGATGGCACATCAATTTTTACAGAACGAGCTTAGTATTAGAGATATAAAAGTTGAAGCTTATGCCTTAGCCTTATTGGCATTAAATGCTAATGCTGGTTCTTACAACTTAGAAGAGAATTAAGAAATCTTGGTGTTTCATCTCAGATAATCGAAGCCACAAAATTTCCTGATATTACAAAAGATACTAATAAAATTCAGAAGAATCGATGAATATTTGTTGAGAAGTTTGAGAAAATTGATTATCCAGACTGCTTTATATTAGAATCAGTCAAAGAAGAATTAGATAGCTATAATACATCTACTTTATCTAACTTACAAGCTCTCTCAGATATTATGATAATACTTTGTATTCGCTCTGCTGAACTTATATCTTTACGCATTACAAATGCTGGAGTGATAGGCTATGCAAAGAACTGAAGTCAGATAGATACTTCTCAAAAATTAAGATCTATGAAGAAGAATTAAGAATGAGCTAAGGAATTGCTTACCTGAATTCAGAATGCTATTTCTTCTGGTCAAATAGGCAACCCAGATAAGCCAGAAGCAAAATAGTTTAATAGATTCTTAAAAGACTATAATTTAATTTCTTGCCATTTACATAAAATAGGGCTATATATGCTGTAGTGATACATGGAGCAAAGAATTTAGCTCATGCTATGACAATTGCTAGTCAAGCACTTTGACACACTCCTGACAATAATACTTCTTCTGTACAAAACTATGTTATAGTAAATTACAGAAAAATTGCACAATCCCCAGATCAAGCAAGACCATTCCAACTTTATTATGAGAACTAACCATGCTTTTTACTTTTACCATATTCACAGTAAAATCTTTATTATCATTGTTAGAGATATTTACTTTGTAGCTAAGACGATTAAAAGTCTGACCCAGACATGGATAAAGAAGAAGATGAGGACTCAAATGTAGTATCATTAAAAATTAGTTTTTTTCTAGCATTGCATTTTCTTTTAACCTCAGATGGTGTATGATTTCTTTGAGAAATATCTGGGTTTGCTATCAAGTTTATAATATCTTGCTAAATCTCAGGTTTCACTATTTTTAGTAATTGACAGAGAGAGATCTGAATTTTTTTATTTAACACTTGTTTAATAATGTGAGATATCATACTATTACTATTTTGAGATTTATGATTATTTTCTAATATAGCTTTATTCATTGTCAATATCGTGTAGTAATATGTACCTTGGTACTAGCTTCACTATTATTTATTATATTAATACATAATAAAATTCAGAATAAATTATAATTATTTTTCGGTTATACTATATATCATTAAACATATTTAACATGTTTATTAATACATTCATAAAATGAAAAATTACCATAAAAGTATTAATTAATCATCATTAAAGTTTAATACCATTAGTAAGAGCTTGTTTGATTAGCTTAAAGAAGATTATAGAATACGTGATTCTGTTAAAAATCTCTATGAAGATGTAATAGGTAAATTAAAATGTTTAGATTTGCAATTTTGCTATAAAGAAAAGTGGCAAAGTTTAGATAATACTGAAGTAATAGACTTTCAAATTCACAAAAATCTATCATTTGATTTGGTATTAGAGAAAGATTGATTATATATGTATGAAGCAAAAATAAGCTTTGGATATTCTTCCAAAACCTGTGTCTGTCATGCTAAAATTGTAATCAATAGTATAGTATCCCATTAATTGAAGAAAATAGTAATAAAGCCAGCTCTAGTAAAAATAACTTATCTTATTCTGAAACAGAAATCGATAAACCTAATCTAAATTTAGAAAAGTTTATAGATATGTTTAAGAAATTATCTATAGAGACTAATTTATTCAGTTCCAATTCAGAATCCATGAGTTCAAACTGATATGATCTTGATTTGAAAAAACCCCAAAAGAAATGCATCCATATTACAAAAAAAAAGGTTATCTCTCCTAACCAAAAACATTATAGAAATAAGCCAATTAGAACTAAGTAATCTTTAATCAAAAAATTATTATGGGTGGAATCAACATAGAAGTATTTCAGAGAAATGACATATTACTGTGCTACATTACTGCATCCTGATGACATGGTATCCTGTCTCGGCAACTAGAAAAAATAAACACTGCACTGTATTATTGCACAAAGTGAACTGATCATTGAATAAATATTTAACCTGCCCACATCAAGCTTAGTGATATGTATTTGTTAGAATTATTTCACATACATATAAAATTTATCTGTATTATCTTGCAAGGCTTATTGTTATGCATAACTTATTTGTAAGATGGATCACAAGTAGAAATTGCTATTTTTCATTTTTCTGGAATTAGTACTTAAACCAAAATCGGTCAATTAACTCATGCCACATATCGATATATTCTGAATTTATTTGTGTGTGAGGGTGCAATTGCCACATATTATTGACCACGTTATATTTTTCTGTCAATATATAACAATGAAAGGTCAGAATAGCATACTCATATGTAAAGATAAACAAAATTGCTTTGAAAAGTGGCATATCTTTAGAGGCTGAAATTACAGATATAAGGTTTGTGGAGAATGTGATCACCATTCACATCTATATTGTAAGACATGCAAAAAAGTAGCAGAGTGAATATATAAGTGATGCGAATGCACTAATACATACTCTATAAGCAAAAATAAATCAAAGTTAAGGATTTGATAATAACAATAACATAACAATATTCACTTATCACAAGTACATATCGATATGATAAGAAAAAATATTAATATTCGTAAAAGCATGATTATAGTAGCGATCGGGGTTGATAATGTTTATAGCATACAATTAAAGTGTTCGTAAATAAGTTTTTTTTAGCAAATAAACCCGATTATCCTATAATCTTGACTGATATCTTTAACTTTCAGCTAGTAATCCGTAATCTCATTAGAGATCTGCTAAACTAGACTACTATTAATTTCGTATTTTATTATTTTTTAATAAAGCTAGCCCTAGTAGCTGATTTCATTGTATACATAATCACATTTACTTTTGCATATATATTTCGCGAAGTTATTTTATTGTATGTTAACTTGCATATGATCAAAAATTTTTAAAAATATTTCTTGGTAAAAGTGATTGGCGTGACAAATTGACATGCACACATAATTTTTTTTATTTGAAATTAAAAGCATTAACTATCGAGAAAAAAATATTTTCAAAACGTGTACGATAAAAATCTTTTTCCAAACATTTCTAATAAAGTTATATAAATTAATATCAAATATGCAAGATCAAAGGGACAAGTCTAAAGACCTATCTGAATTAGATTTATTGAGACAACGAATTATTGATCCTGAGACTGAAAATGCCAAACTTAAAGCTGATAATGCTAAGTTAAAGCAAACTTTAAAAGAACATGAAATCAGAATCACAAATCTAGAACAGAGAGATAAAGAAAAAACTGTTACTAATATGCAGAATGATCTTTCTGCAAAAGATATTTCCTATGAAATAAATTCTAATAATACTCCCAAAAAGATAATTGATATATCTGATAACGCTTCAAATTCTGATGATATACAATCTAAAATTGTTATGTGGAAGAATTTAATACCAACCTAGTAAATGATAATCTCAGGCTTAGAAATGAAATTGAAAAGCTGAAAAAAAGATATAAATGAGTTAAACAAAGAATTGGAACCTAAGAAAAATCATAAATTTCAGGAGAAATGTATCTTAATAGCTCAAGTATTGATTGGAGAAGAACCTGTGGTTGAATATCATCCATTTTTTATAGAGGAATTAGAACTTGATGCTTTCTTCCAAGATCATCGAATTGCATGAGAAGTGCAAGGGATACAACATCGGTTTCATAATACTAGCTGGTATAAAGATGTCAAAAAACTCGAGAATATTGTTGACCATGATCGGAGGAAAAGATGTCAATGTCAACTTAATGGTGTATACCTTATTGAGGTATGGTATAAAGAGAATCCAGAAGTTACTATTCCTCAAAAGATATATAAATATAGAGAATGTATTATTCGAAAAACCTTTGATCTCACGTAATCGATAATAACATTATATAAGTCGTAGATAAGGTGGAGTAACTGTGAAAGTGTAAATCACTGCTCTGCAGATCTTATGGGGCTAACAGCTACATCATTTGAAATTTTAATATGTAAATTGCGTAAAAAATAAGAATTTGCATTATTTTGTACTCTTGATAAAATTCATGTCATTTTACCCCATGATCTGTATGACAAATCGTGGAGTATAAATTTTCTGGTTCCTAGTTTATCACAATCTCTTTTTTATTGTACACAACTGCGCCAAATGGAAAGTCCAAAACAAGGAGGAGAAGGAAGCAGACAAGGAGCTTTGAGATTAAAAGTTCAGGACAGTAGAAAAGTTAAAAATGTATATTTTTTTTACCTTTTTAAATTTGAATCCTAACGGGTTTAAATACTACTATAACTGACGACTGATTTCATATTAGATGTCAATGATATATTCAAAATTTGACTTTTTGGATAGACCCTGGTGGAAACCCTCTTATGATGAACGCGATGCTAATTCTTTTATTTTAAATGCCAAGCACCACCAATATGCCATATTATTAGCTATTAACGAAAGTGACCCGCTCTTATAGAAGGGATATATTGACCTTCATCATGAACATTATCTGCTTGAATGTATTTCTGCAGAAAGTAACGTTGACCTTACTATCGACTCTATACAACAGGCTCTAAAAAAACCTGGTATTCTTAAATTGCTATGTGGAAAAATTGTTGCATTTTGCTTCATACCCGAAAGATCTTTACGTTTGAATAGGAAAGTGAAAAATGTCCACGATGCCATTATTTGTATTTTTTCATCAATCTTCTTTTCTGATCTTCCAATAGATCAGTTTACACCTTCATTTGCACAGCAGTTGCACCGACAAATTGGAAATGAATTAATTAATAACGCAGGTCAATATAGAACGTGACATGTTATGGTGGCACAAGAAAACTATGTATATATTGCACCGGATTTAATCGAGGATAAAATAAATGAGTTATTCTGTCAATGTAGATATAAATTTGGAAGGACAGACTTGCAGTTGGAGGAAGTTATTAAATATGGAGCATGTTTTCTTGTCTATTTCTTGACAATTTACCCTTTTATAAATAGAAACAGAAGAGTAGCAAGATTGCTTTTGAGTTACCTCTTATCAAAATTCACAGTAGTATCTCTTTCTTTATATACAGGATCTAAAACAGGAGATGTGTATTTACAATATCTTCGTGAAACATGGTATCAAGAATCATTTAATCCCAGTGCACTTGCAACTTTTATACTTGAATGTGTATACAAGACATCTTATAACATATGTGTAGTGATGGATATTGATATTCAAGATTAATATAGTTAATCCTGTTATAAAGTAAAGTGATAATAAAAAGAATATGACCATGGTTTAAATTAGTATAAATTTGAAAGCCAAGATTGTCCAAGCAAATTATAATAGTTATAAAAAAATCTCAATATAATCTGTAAGAGCATAAATTAATAAAGTTAACTCAATAGTCTTCACTAATCGCAAGTTACATTGTAAAAAATCATATAAAAATAAAATTTGGTGAGGGCATGGGACCCCCTTCTTTATTTAATGTTTTTTGCCAGAATGGCATTATACAAATAAAATATATATTTATTATATAATAAAAAATGTCCTTAACAGGTTAGGTTGGTGGGGTTTACATTTGATCTAACATTTCCTCCTGCTGATCAGGATTTAACCAATCATTATCATCATTGTTATAAGATAAAAATTCTCTCAGCTTGTATTGTCGTTTTGATTTAGAATAGTTGGGGGTCTTATTTTTCTTGTTATTAGAGGTAGTGGTTTTTTTGTTACTGCTCATTTTTCATACCTAAATACAAAAAACAAAGTAAGCAAAAATTTGGTTTTATAGTCTCTGTTAAATAAAATAGCAAATTACTTAAAAAATAAATTATGGACAAGTAGACAAATAAATTTATATATAAGCAAAAAATAATGTTATTGTTAACTTATCTTACAGGTAAGAACTTGCTTATTTTATACCATTCATTCATTAGATCTTAGAACCTACCAAAAAAAAAAAGTACATGATTAGTAAGTAAATAACAGAATAAAGTAGAATAAAGCAACTTTACTTGGTTATAAGTTCCAAATACTGGGTCTATTTTGTTATTTTTTTGGTAAAATTAACTCTATTAGATTCAACAATCATTTCTGCGAAGTGAAAAAAGTCAACAATCTTGATGATCTGAGAATTTCAAGTTCCCCTTCCATGACATATAAATTTGAATAGGCAAAGCCTGGGGTCTATGACCCATAAAACTACTGATAAGGAACATTATACTTATTACCCTTATAGCCTTTTTAGACACGAAGTGTCCTGCTTTGCAGAGACCCATTCTTATTGCAGAATCATATAGGTCTAGACATTATTCACAATATTCGTTATTAATAAAAATTAATCATAGGAATTAATTCTGCAGAAGAGTGATACAAACCAATTCCTAATTTTATATAACTTATAATATTGTAATGCAATAAAAAGATTTTTAAATTATTCTCACTATGTACATATATTAAAAGGTCATAAACTACTGTTAAGCCATTGTCTCTTGGAAAGAGGATGCTCTGCATCTAAAGTACTGTTGATATATGTTTATAATAATGATAGTTTGAAGGTATAGTTATACAGACAGTTCAAAGAAGTTAATATAATATCTAGTGTGATTTTATAGTAACAAGACTCGAACTTTTTATAGTAGAAGGCTTCGATTGAGGCATGGAAAGAATTATCCTAAGTAATAAGAATTTTTTTGCCTTGCATTTACAGTTATAGTATTTTCTCTTGTAATTAATTTTTAGTACTAGTCTTCTAATATTATTAATTTGAATATTCCATATGAATTCTAGATATGAGAGGATCATAATAGATCTTCCAGAGAAGTGATGAGATTGTTTTTCCCTAATCTACTCCATCTTCAACAGAGTAGGATTAAGTTGGTCCTAAACAAGTAATTATTTTATTTGTACAATAATGAAGCAAGTATGATAGCAAATTGATTGCTTTGTTGAGTATGTGTATTCTTTCAAGTAATTTGCAAAGAGTTGGTATATGAATTGAGTCAAAAGCTTTTGACATATCCTAAGACAAGATCCAGATCTCTTTTTGGTTTATAGTTGCATCTTCTAAGATGTAAGTGAGTTGGAAGATAGGTTGAAGTATTGATTGATAAGAGAAAGCTGCAAAGTTGTGAAAGGAAAGCACTTGATTGCAAACTAGGATGTCTGTCAGATGATTTATTAAAATTTTTGTAAAATTTTTTCTAATGTGGTCTATTAAAGTAATTAGATGGGTGGTATTTAGTTTATAATTATATTGTTGTTTTTTAGGAATCAGCTAAATATTAGCCTGTAACCATTGGTTTGGAACTATTTCTTGTATTATGCAGCTATTGAAGATATTTAGTAGACTGTAAAAGCTAAGAATGACAATTGCTGAAGAACTTCATTTGCAATTCCAGAGGGTCCAGTTGCTTTCTCTTTAGAGGCTAGATTTATTGTTTGTATCAGTTCAGTCATTGAAATAGATGAGAAAAGAGTATTGTAAATATCATTCCGTATGTACTAAAGTAAAGAATAGAATGGCTTTTATTCTTTCCATGAAGAATTGTTAGAGGGTTGTTTTTCGTCCAGTTTTTGAAATGGGTGTGTATAGTTTCTTTAATCTCTTTTTGATTGGTAATTACACTGTCAGATGCTATAATTTTTTCATAGCTAATTAGTTTTGCTTACTTTTGTAGAATACTATCTAGCATTCGACTAGTATTGTCTTTAAAATTAGAGTACCTGTGATTAATATAAAACTTAATGTGCTCAGTTTGTTTCTGTTTTTTTTATAGTTGCATGCTTGCCAAATTGTATGTTTATATTGTTTGACTTAATCTATAGTGTTTAGCTGTGAATGAGCAAATTCTTCTTAAATAATAGAAGTAATGCTAATTTCTGCTAAGGTGGCTGCTTTTGTTAAGTACTGATTGGCCTGGGCTATTGTGTCTGCTGCTCTATTTGATAGTTGTTGTAAGCATTTGTTAATGTTTTTTAAAGCTGAGTAGAGCTTTGTTGCCTTTAGTGACATTGCAAAGAAAGGCTGTAGGGCTGTAGGGCTGTAAAGGTGTAAGGAATGTGTTTATTCATTACTTTTTTTATTTTTGATGCCCAGTAGTTCTATATTCTATCAATATCATCTTTATTTATGTTTGATAAAGAGGTTTTATGAGAATTAAATAATGTGTTTACTGTATTTGCAAATTCATTCCATGTATCTGTTGTAGTTTTTTTATATAGATATATTTTTCTTTTCTTTTTTTTGTTTCTAGAAGCTTTTGGCAAATAGAAATTGGTATGCCATGTTGTGTTTAGTATACAATGGTCACTATTGGTAATATAAGTAGCATCAATTATTATTAGTGGATTGAAGGCTAAAAGTATATCTGAAGAAACCCAAAAATCATCTATTTGATTAGTTGAATTAGGACCATGCCAAGTAGGTGTTTATATATTATAAAAATCTAATAAGCTTGTTAAATTGGCAGCATTTAGATTGGTAAAAATTAAAAGTTGTTTATTTTTGTACTAATTTGCATTGAAGTCACTCAGGATAGTCAAGTGCCAATTTCGAGATCTGGTTTCTGTGACCCAGAAGCAAATTTGAGATGATGTCTGTTTTAAAAGTAAGAAATAGTTTGAAGGAAGATATGTTAAAATAATGTGAGATTTGTTGTTATTTGAAAAAAAGAAATTAATGCAAATTGCAGTGCCAGGTAGAGTATTGATATTATGAATATAAGGCTATAGTTGGTTGCAAACTAATAAAGCTGTTCCCAAGCTAGCTTCTCTTTAATTTAAGTTATATAGTAAAAAGTTAGATGTAAAAATCTTGTAAAAAGGTTTGGTATATGATTTTGCTACTGAGTCTTTAATTTAGTTTCAGTATAGAGATTATATATAGATTTGATTCTACACAATGTTCAATCCAGTTTTGCATTTTTAGTATATTGTTGATGCCTCTAATGTTGTGCATAGTTATGTTAATTTTTTCATTTAAATTTAGTTTAATATTTTTTGTTTCATTCTTATTATTTGCTAAAAGCAGATTGTTTATATGATAGTTTGTACTTATTAAAGATCCATATTGTTATCTTCTTTCCTATCTAACATTTGTATATGTGTGGTTGTTGTTTGTTTTGGTGGATCAAAGATTTCAAAAGATGGTTTAGATAAGTCTATAAGGTCAAAAATGTATTCTGGTAAAGAGTGATAGGCAAAGTTTTGTCTAAGAGTTTTTATAACTAATTGAATATTGTGATGTTTTCATACTAGAATGTATATATTTGTAATTTGTTTTTGTTTAAGAGCCAACTGAAGTTGTTCTACTGTTGATAGTAATTTGGACAAGGTTGATTCAACTTCTAACTGTTTTTCTTTTCTTTCTATCTGAATCCAAGACTGAGATATGACATGAAAATAATAGTACTCTTATAATGCTTTGACTGCTATACTTAGTTCTTTAGAGGTTGATATTGGTAAAGTTAAGTTAACCAAAGTGACTAAATTGGCATCTTCAGGCAGATCTGGAAGATCTGTATAGTTGAAGTTACAATAAGCTTGTAGTAATGATAATGAGATATTGTAGATTCATGGAACATGCTTGATAAAAGTATTTACTTCTTTTGTGCCTGTAATGGAAATGTAAAGTTGGATATTTTTAAGTTTGTTGGATCTATGGGTAGTCATTTTCGAGAACTAATATAGTCATTAAGTAGTCTAGTAAAGAAATAGTCCATGTGTAGTAATCTGATGTGTTCCTTAAAATTATCTTGACTTTCAGGTAAAAAAGGAAATCTCTCTCTTAGTCTGGGTGTTAAGTCTTGTGTGATAGAAGGGAAAGGGCTTTTTGATGCTGGTAAATCAAAGTATTCAGCTGGGATTCGCTAAAAAATATAGTATTTTTGTAAGGTCTCTCTATAGTAAGCTAGCTTTTTCAGTTCAGCTCTGTCTACAATAGGAAAGAGGTATTGTACTTCATTTTTCAAATCTTTATATAAAGCTGATAGATTTCATGTTTGTCTATGATATATATGTCTGATAGCTTATCGAAAGAAAATATTAAGTGCAGTGTTCTAACTGCTGATGTAAAAACTTAGTGGCTTGTAATAAATAGGTCAAAGGAAATAGCTTGAGACAAATGGTCTGAAATAAGATCTGGTGTATTAGGCAAGGGAATTAGTAGTTCATTCATTAGTTCTGAGATCACTTTTCTTGTAGTTTCAAAGTCTAAATTCTGTTAGATTTTTGCAAAA